CAACATTAAACTCACTACTCAATAGATGTCAATAACACTTTCCCAGATTGTGACAACCAAAAATATCTCCAGACATTGCCATATATAACCTGGGTGGGGGGGGGGGGGGCAAAATCACCAGTTCTCGAGCAAAACTGCTACAAAGGCATAACAGTGTCAGAACAGTAAGGTGCGTTAATCTACTGAATATAATCTTGTACAATTACAATATGTAGGCAATGTTGTACGTGCTGTAAGAAACATAAAGAAGAGTAAGGCACAATTTCTGTCCTTATGCAACTTGCAATATAGCATGGAAAATTAACACAAATAAGTAGGACACAGAACAGAAAAACATGAGAATTAATGATGTCTCAATATGTATTCAGAGAAAGAAAAACAAGAATTTCATTGGAAAAATCAAAAGGGTGCTTGAAGAATGTGACATTTAGGTAGGTCTTGAAGGAAGGGCGGGATTCCAACAGGCAAAGATGGGAAGTTAAGGTCTTAGAAGAAGAAGAAAAGAGAACATTGGAAAACACTCTTAGGAAAGAGTGTGAATGGCTTTGAACTGCAGAGGTTTGGAACATTATGTAGTTCATTACGAGAAGCATTTCATTTGACTTCACTTTATTTTTGATAAGAGGAAATGACATGATGAGATGATTACATAGTTTCGTTACCCCTGTTCTCTTACTTTTTATTTAACTCTTTTTCTCCATCCCCACCAGAGATTGTGGAAGGAGAAATGAGGAGTTTAGGAGGAATCTAGCAAATGATCCACAGCACTGTTGTTGGATAAAAGTTAGTGAATAGTATTCACAGAGCTTGCTATCACAAAATAATTTTTATTATTTATATATTTATTATTTGTTACTATGCAAATAAAATGGCTTAAGAAATTGTCTTTTGGGAAAAAAATGATTTCAAGCAATTGGCAGAAAGAATGTTTACGTTGCTGTTGTTGAAGTTTGGGTGAGAGATTAGCACCCAAATTTTAATGATACAGAAACTAACAATCAATATAAATAAGAAGAGCAAAGGAAATAATCTAAAATCACCTCTGTTTATGACATTGATTCTTAACCTTTGGGGGCTTATGTTTCATTTGAGTAGTGAAATAGTGAAAACAGTAGTTTCTCCCCAGAAGTATACATAAACAGGCAGTATTTCATAAAATTTGGCATAAAACTTCAGAGTGTTCCTGACCTTCTGAAGTCTATCTATGGCCTTTCTAGGCATATATCCTCTGGTTTTAAAACTCTGACAAAAAAAAAAAAATATATAGGACACAAGACTTAGAGCATTACTTAAGAAACCTAAGAAGTACCAGAAGTCCCCAGAATACCACAGGGGGCAGTTTAAAAGCTGAAATCCGTGGGCTCTTTATAAATACCTGGAATCATTTTAACTGATATGTACTCAAAAAGGACTTAGTTATCATTTTCTATTAAAGTTCTAAAAGTTTAAATTATTTTTATTGAAAGGAAATTGACATATGTCTCAAAAGCAGCATGATAGAAAAATAGAAATATTCCTGAGCTAAAACTGAAAAAAACTTTAGGGCTTATTTTAAGCTGTTTAAACTTGGACTAGTAATTGAACATCTCTCAGCTTCAGTTTTATGCTTTTTTAAAAATAATAGAGTATTATGCTATATTATATTGGAGCCCTCTATATGTTCTAAAATTCTTATTAGTAAAGGGCCACAAAAAATGTTTACATTGTGTAATGATAAAACTTAAAAAATAAATAAATAAAAAATAAAAAATACAATTAAAAAAACCTAAGGAGTTAAGACAAATGAATGACTTTTAGAAATGAAAATAGTTGCTATTATTCCCAGAGTAACATATTTTTATGAAGTGATTCAAAGCTAGATGTGGCTGAATTGCTCAATGGCTGAATTTGCAAAAGTGGGTGATAATTAAGTCGTTATGTTCAACCCTTATTAAATATTAATGAATTCTCCATGCTTTTGAATTGGAAAGGTTTTCTACAGGAGAAGTTCTGACTGCACTGTCTGAATGATGAATCACCTCCCACTCTGAGGTGGTCTTCCCCAGATCCAAGCTGCTCATAGACACCACCAGGAAATTTAACTGTGTTGTATTTGGCTTTTAACTGAAAAAAACAGGAAAAAAAAAAAAAAAAAGGAACTTGCAATATTGATATCACCATGCTTTAGCCTGTAGGGACAAAAGATTTTCTCTGAGAAAAAGAGCTAGACATTAAACAAATAATACCCTCAGCCCAGGCTCTGGTCATCTGAATGCACTCACCATTTGTGTGGCTTTAAATCTGGTTGCACACATGCTAGGACCAAAGATCACAAATGCATCTGGGTGGCAGAAGCTGGTCAGTGTAGTCCCCTCCACCCTCTCTGCTGTTTGTTTTTGTAACACATGTTAGGCACCAAAGAGACAAACAAGGATAAAATGGCTTTCTCCTTTACCATCTGACTCTTTGCCAGAGATACAAAGCCCAACCAAAGCATCAGATCTCAATGTTCTGACGGCTGAGGAAGCCCAGTTTCTTGTTCTCTGTCCATCACCATTCTTCTTAACAAATATTTTCCACCAAGTTCAAAGAATTGTAGTCCAGTAAAATACAGAGTTATTTCTACATACCCCCTTCCCAATTACCAGTCATTAGTACTGAATTTGTGGGATAATACCTTCTGTGGCTTATGTCATAAGAATGTAGTCTGTTACAAAAGCTGTATATTCACAGTATTTTGAACTCCTGAAATTAAAAAAAAAAAATACAGAGAGTTCTTGGCATACAAATGAGTTCTCTTCTATGAATTAATTGCAAGTTCTTGTGTCTGGAGCTTAGAATACGTATCTCCTAGAAATAGCATTAAAAATAGTGGATAAGACCCCAGCTTAGAAAAAAGAAAGAACAAAATAAAGAAAAAGAGAAAAAGGGGGTGGGGGGAGGAAGGAAGGAAGAAAGACATAAATTAACATACAACACATAATATTATACATTTCTTCGCACGCAAGCATTTCTGTCTGTCCTGTAATGGAAGGTGAGAATCGCTTAGAAGCTGCGCCACGGTGTGGGAGGCAAGGACTGTCTCTTTCAGGCGTGTAAACAGTGGGGCTGATAGCGAGATGATGATGGCATCTGTCTCGTGGAGGGATACTGAATTGCTATGTCGCGGTATGACCACAGCTTCCATTTTAAGAGGCTGCAGGATGCCACAAGCTGAAGACAGTGTGGCCGCCCCAGCTGTGCACATTTCCAGAGCAATTGTAAATTGGGTGTTTTAAAATCAGAGATTGACAGGAAATAATTAAACCCCACTAAATAGTTTTGATTTAGAAGCATGTTTGGGACTTTGGAATCTATTAATATTTTAAATGGATTTAGTGAGCATGACCATGTATTACTAGACTAACAATTTCTTTTATTTAAATATTTATCTTCAAATTTTCAAACATTCAGAAAGAAGAGAGAATAGCAATAAATTTGCATATCTCCATCACCTCCATTCAAAAATCAAGATTTTGATTCATTTGTATCAGCTATCCTGTCTTTTTTTTCATTGCCAACTCATTTTGTAGCAAAACCTAGATTGCATGTCATGTATAGTTCAGTATACAACGTTAAAAAAGAATTGCGTTTTCTCACACAATGCCAAAGCCAGTATAATCCCGAATAAAAATGGTACATTTTTTTTTTTATCATTTAATACTCTATTTATAATCAATTTTCCCTCATCACTGATAAAATGTCTTTTATGTTTGGTTTGTTCAAATAAGTATCTAAACAAGGTCCACACATTACATTTGGTTGTTATGTATCTTAAATATCTTTTAATTTTAAGTAGTTCCATTTTTTAATATTTTTCCCATCCCATTGTCTTGTTTCCAAATGTATGTCAGTGTCGTGATGTTCATTGGTCATTTTTTTCCCTTAACCATCTTTTAACTCATTCCTTTACTCCTCATATATTCTGTAAATGGAAATTAACTCTGTTAATGAGTCATTTCTTAAAATATCATAACAATGTATTGATTTTGTCATTGGTGTAGGCTCTAACGGATCCATTTAGATTATGATTAAAGGAAAGTCAAACATTCTGTTGTCTGCCATGGTTGATAGAAGAATAAATAACATAACTGCAATGAAAAGTTTTCCCAAACTGCCCAATATCAATTATATAACATACCAAAGTCTTACATATGGCCTTCTGTACTTTTTTTTAATGCCACCTACCTGTCTCCTATTGTCCTTAGAATTTGCAGACTGTGGAATAGGGAATTCTTACCGAGAACTGTTGAGAAAGATCATTAGAGGGTTAGAGATCAGATTCCGAAGTGACTTGAATTGCAACAAAAGGCCCCTTTACATATCTGACTTTAAATTGTGCCTCTAAGATGGAATAGTAGATGGTCTGCCTACAAGTAAAAGACATTTAGGATTCTATTTAAACAAGCAGGATCACTCTAATGCAATAGGAAGTTGTTGCTACGTGGCTGATTATAGGGTAAAACCAACTCCAGAAAACTTACGTAATGCAGTGTTTTTATGCTCTGCTAACACAACTAATTAAAGCCATAGTCAAAAGGCAAAAAACATAAACAACATGAAACCTGAAAGAAGTGTGCCTTGGCAATACTGGTATGTAATATAAGAATGTTCATAATCCTCAGAACAGCATTATTATTTAGATGCTGCTAGTATTTCCATTTTAAAGATGAGGATACCAAGTTATAAAAAGCTTAAATTATTTCCCCACGATTACATAGTAATAAATGGAGAATCTGGAAACCGAACTGAGGCAGTCTACCTCTTAACCATACTATTATACTGCTTCTCAGAATAGAGTTGTGAGAATGCTGTCTTGATATGAGCTCCAGGTGGTATAGAAATCTCATCCCATTCTCTGATGTCAACCCTGAAACTTACTATATCTCTTAACTCATGTTGGTTTTTAATGCCAATATTTAAATATTATAGGCACGTCTAATGATAACTATATGTATAAATGTTCCTTTTGTTTTAAACAGGTCATCAATAACCTTGGCCCTTTGGAACTGATTCTTAATACTCCAAGCCATCATAGAGTTCATCATGGTGAGAAAGTTCTATTTCTTCTTTCTTTCCTTTATTTCTTTTAAATTTATATTATTATTTTGCCTTACTTCATTTTATCACAATTACCCAATATAGTCAGCATACATTGTACGAATAGGTATAGTTTCTTTTTTTGTACCTAGACAGGCCTCATCTCCAAAGCTGGACTGTGGTAGAGGTGGAGGCTTTCTCTAGCTGGCAATTTTATTTTATTTTTTTCCTTTTTATGTAGATATCAGGTCAGTTGTAGTGGGAAAATGAGTTAATCAGCTGAGGAGTTATACACATTTTATGGCTTGAAGGAGTCTGTCAAAGGCTACTTCCTTGACCTACTGCTGAGGGTCATTCCTATCCACAGTCAGAGAGTCCATAGTCTTAAAACTGTTGGGATTGGAGGAGAGCCTGATAAACAACACTTTACTTTTCTGCCCATGTTCTGTGAGTAAATTCAACATAAGTTACATTTGTCTGACAAGGAGCAAATCTCATGTGGCTAGTCCCTCAGGTTAAAGACACCAACTTAAAGAATAACAAAAATGTTTACATTTGTGCACCACAAGACCTATACAAGAATGTGCATATCAGTATTATTTGTGATAGAAGAAAAACAAACAAACAAAAATCCAGAAACAATGTAATTTAAATGTTTATCAGCAGTGGAAAAGGTTAATAAATTGTAGACAATTCATGTGATGGAGAATTACATAGCAATGAAAACGTCCAAACCATTGCTACATGCAATGGCATGAATAAATCTCACAACATAATGTTGAGAGAAGGAAGCCAGTGATAAAAGAATAAATACTACAGTTCTGTTTTTATTATAAGTTTTCAGGTTTCACAGCCAGTCCTGGAGCACAGCAGCCCTGTCTTCCCAAGGGGGGCAGGTCCCTTTCCCCATGGCAAGGAGCAGAGCAGGAGCGCAGCTCCATAGGAAGAGGAGAGGGGATCAGGCTGCACATGCTCAGTTTCCTCTGCAGACTCAGAACTTATCTCCACCCCCAGGGGATAACTAGTGAGGGGGTAGGGAGGCCAAAAGTCTTATACTCTTGCAGTTTTCTCCATATTGAAGGAAAAATAAGGAGTGGAGAAGAACAAGTCCATGTTTAAAAAGAAGAAAACAGTTGCTAGTTTCCTCTGTCTGACATCACCTTTCCACTCCTGTTGCTTTATCTCAAAATTTCTCAATCTCAGCTGTATTGACATTTTGAAAGCCATTCTTCTTTGTTATGGGGGCTGTTCGTGCATTGTAGGACGTAGCATCATCACTGGCCTCTACCCACTAGATGCAATTAGTACCCCCTCCCAGCTGTGACTCCAATAATGTCTCCAGACTTTGCCAAATGTCCCTTTAGGGGCAAAATACGGCCCTACCCAACAGAGACCCATTGTTTAGACCATGGATGAAAATGGGGTGTGCATCCACACGGCCAATCTCACTCTACTTTTGCACTGGGAGAAATTTCACCTTGTGTCTACACTTTCAAATATATATTTGTGTTCATGGAAGGTGTGTGAAGGAATGAGGACACATAAAGATAGTTGAGTTTGTCGGAGTAGTGGTTTGCTGGATTAATATTCTTTTTCTTTTTCTTTAGATTTACTATCACATTGATATGATGATAGTGTCTAGTATTTTAAAAATATATGAAAGAAATGATGCCCAGCTATTTATATTAAATTTAAATTGTAATTTGTATATTTTGGAGGAAGAAAAATAACATATATGCTATGAGTTAAAAAAGTAATTTTCTCTTATGTCTTTTTAAAAAAGAAAACAGTCTAATCTCACTCTAAGTAGAAATTTTCTTCCTGAAACAGGTGCAGACAAAGGGATAGAGGTATATCACATCAAAAATTAAAAATAAGAACACATATGTATATTATTTTCTTATTTCTTATTTACTTTTTTCTGTGCCATTTAAGTTTTCATTATTGCTCTTTAATAGCCCTGAAAAAATAATTATTAAGATTTATTTCAGTTTTTCCTTAAACTGAAATATTGTGAGAAAAAAATACATATAATTTCAAGGAAACCCTTGCTCTTTTTGGCAAAATTAACTGCAAAATAAATACAACAAAAATTCTATTACTAGAAAATAAAATTTGATGTTGTTAATAAGAAGACATTCCCAGGAAAATCATTCAGTTGCTTGAATCTTAATTTTATGAATGTGTTCTAAAAACAAGACAAAGAGATATTTTAAAAAGCATAAATTCACTTTTTTGAAAAACTTATTTTTAATATTTTCTCTCACAGGCAGAAACCGTTATTGCATAGACAAAAATTATGGTGGCGTTCTTATTATTTGGGATAAAATTTTTGGTAAGTAGAGTATGAATATATAAAAAAATTAAATTAGTTCCTTTATTCAGAAGAAGTAAAAAATCATACCCTTAATGTTTATTTCCAGGAACATTTGAAGCAGAGAATGAAAAAGTTGTGTATGGTCTAACACATCCCATTAATACATTTGAACCAATCAAGGTACAGGTAATGTAATCAGTTTTATTCTTTCCGAACTTATATTATTTCATAAATCTTAGAGTTAAGAGAAAAATCAGTTGTTAAAAGGAGAAAGTACACTAAACTACCTTGAAAAAACTGAAAAAATTTGGAAATGACTCTGGTACTCAAGCGAAAGTTTGAATCAAATTGAGCAAACTCCATTTAAAAACAACTCATTAAAAGTATTTTCAGATATGTCTACTACCTAGAATGAAAAGAAAAAAAGAAAAAAGTGGCTCTTTAGCAAACATATTCTTTCTCAGAATAGGCCTGAAATATATTCATGTATTCAGAAGGAGCAGTAGTAACATGTATAATTAAAGCTGATCCCACAGTAAGAAAAATATTTGCTTCAAGGCTGCATGACTGTGGTTAGAAATCCAACATGAGGCCTTTGCCCTACTCCTGGACCAAAGTGTCAGGAGCTATTATAGATTAGTCAGGTCTGCACATTACCTCACCTGCTAAGACTCACTGGACTGGACCAGTTTTCTGTTAGACATGTGGTATTGGTTGTTCACTGGCTTCAATGGTTGGCACTAGAGAAATGAGGAATGTCTGTGAAGCTCCGATCCATCAGCACCAGACCACCGCAAATACTCCTGGGGTGAGGGACTTGTAAATGAGAGAAAGACAAGAATGCTTGGAAAGCTGAAGATTTAGTCAATGACAGCTCTGTACAGGGGACTGGTCAGAGCATTCAGTAAATGACAAAATTACAGGTTCATGTTGGGTCTGCTTCTCAAGTTTTCACAGAGATTTGAAATAATGAAATAATTGACAAAATGCTGAGCTTCTAATGCTTTGAATTAACAGTTGAGGTCAGTCAAAAAATCCTCTTTCAAAAACTTAGATGAGCGATTATGAGGGTAAGATCAAGAGAATGGCTGTAGAAATGGAGAGGTAAGGGTGGATCCTAGACATATTTAGAAAGTGAAATATACAGAAATTGGTGATTAGTTGTAGGTATCAGGAAGACAAAAGGATAAATGGTTTCAGGTTTGGCAGCTGGGTATATGATGCTATTTCTCAGAATTATCCACCTGTTTCTTTAAATATAAAAGTAGCCTTTTAATCAGTATTATAAAAATTTTATTCTATGGAAATTAAAAAAACTACAAAATAATTTAAAAAAAAAAACTTCTATAATTTACTTCTTCAAAGTTGCCTTAATACCTGTACACATCCTGTTAGACCTTCTTTGTAAGATTAACACATTTTTATGAAATAGGAATTATATTTTTAAACTTTAAAAAAACCAATTTTTTTTGCACTTATCTATATATCATGTCAATAAAAATTCCTCCACATCATTTTAAAAAAACAATATTGAGCTTCTACTATGTGCAGGATACTTCTAACAGCTCAACACAAAATATTTAATGTAACCACTACTAAAACCTTATGAGATAGTGGCTTTTACTATTCCCATTTTCTGGTGGAGGAAACTGAGGTTCCTAAGGTTTAAATAATTCACCTAATGTCACACAGCTTGTCAGCTGCAAACTTAACTAAGTTGGGCTGTAGGTCAAGCACAAGACTTGCTCAACGCAATTCAACCTTTACTCTGTGCTGCCTCTTTACATATAAGGCCATCGCAAATTGCCTCTGCTTTTTAAGTGAAAAGGATTTTTATCTCCTCAAACACCAAAAGAGAAAAGTTAATTATCTTTATTCTTTCTTCTCAACTACATGGAAGCTCTTTCTCAGTCTCTTTCTTGGTTAGACTTTACTGAGAACATGGTATGTCTCTCAGGCGCATACTAACAAATATTTTTTGGATACTTTCTTAATAACCTTAATAGAATTAAAATCAATTTAGAATTAATACATTGAAGCCTACTTTTGCCTCATTTCATGTAAAGTTTATCTCCGTACTGTGGAGACTAAAAAATAAATAGACAACTTGGACTCTGTTCTCTAGGACAGAGCTTTTCAAAGTTAAAGTGAATGTGAATCATGGTAATAACTTACTAAAATACAAATTCTGTTCAGTAGGTCTGAGATCTGGTCCAAGATTCTATTTCTAACAAGCTCCTAGGTAATGCCAATGCTGTTGGCTATTAAGTAATTCTTTAAGTGGCAAGGCTTTGGGAGTGTACACTGTTGCTGAGGAAAAAGGGGTTCATATTTGAGAGAGAATATGAGAATGAATATTGTGTATGAAGAGAGCTGCACAAATAGTTGGATGATTAGGATTTGGAGAGGCACAATAATCAGACAGTCCTAGGTTCTATATTTATGAGCTGCTGCTGAATTTGTGTTAGGTTCAGTTCTCCAGGTCTCTACCCTCACAAGAACATTTCCTTTAGCTAAGTAATTGTCACAAGTGTTTCTAGTGTTTATTCTTCTACATGCTCATTTATATTGTCAGAAGTGCCAAATAAGCAAGTTTTAATCATCAGAAGTATATAGACCTACAAAGACATAGTACTTTTACTTGTATTCCTTTATATACAGCTAAATTTCGCATTGTCCCTCAGAAGCATCAAAAACAACTTAGGATGACTCAAATTAGACAGAGGCATTTATTTTTTTAATTTTCCTTATTATTAAGCATAGATCATTTTGATCTCATTTGGAGTCTCAGAGTTTCAGGACACTGTAAAACACATAGTGAGGAAAAACTTCTTGTTTTAAAATAGTACCATGTATTTCTCATGACTTGGGTCTAGAATGATAAAAATAAAATTACAGTTAGTTTTCAGAAAAACAAAACAGATAAATTCATTAATGTGTGTTGTAACTGCACATTAATTTTCCATATTATTATTAATGCAAAGCCTCAGGTTAAGTGTCCATCTAATATTTACCATTTCCTCAAAATCTCCATTGATTCTATGTTGTTCCTTATTTGCTTCAGATTCCTTATTGTAATGTCTCAAGCAATTTTTAAATTCATTTTTATAATCCCAGCAGTGAGACAGTGAAAGTACCAGCAAGACCACAAATTCTAATAAAGCCAAAGCTTTGTTCTCCATTAATTCAGTTCTCTAGTTATAGTAGAACACAGCTCTACAGTCTATAGCTAATGCCTTACCCTAGGAGTACTTTTAATTCTATGGTATATAATGATCACTTAGAGCTAATTATGTCAATAGCTAACATTTATTGAGCACTTACCATGCATGGAAATATGTTGAATTGTAATAAAAGTCAAATGTATGCTTCTTAAAGAATGTAGATTCCTGCTATGAGACTCAAGGCAAACTTTGGCCTCAGTCAGCAAAGTTTTCCATCTCTAATTACAGAATATGCACTATTTAATAGTCAGAAGTCTACTATAGGAAATGGCTTTAAACAATTTTGGTTACCATAATATGTTTGTCTATAACATAAAACAATAAATAGAGGTTTATTTTTTAAATATTTAAACTGATATGCAATCTTTGTATGTTGCCATGGTCAACCTTAATATCCAATTAGCAAGACTTTAAAAAAGGTACCATTAGATAAGGATCTTGAGTGCACAGGCTGTTAGTGATAGGAAGCAAAGCCTCATAACTTGTTTTTTAGTACTTTGCTGATTTTCTAAATAATTGCCCTATTTTTTAAATTTCAATATTATGATTTTGTTGAATTTCAGAAATATTGACAAAACACACTTAAATGTACACGGAATGCATAGAATGAATTAAAATATGAAATGCAATTACGTAGTAAGCTACATTAGTCTAATCATGTATAACATATAAAGAAAATATGTAAATTACACTGAACAATAAAATATATGATTTGTTGTATTTGATCATCACTATTATATTTGTTGTATGTTAAATAAGCTATATTTTGATTCCTTCTAGCTCCACCATTTATTTTCCATATGGGCTACATTCTGGGCCACGCCTGGATGCTTCAATAAGTTTTCTGTCATATTTAAAGGACCAGGATGGAGTCCAGGTAAACCAAGACTTGGATTAAGTGAAGAAATTCCAGAGGTAAACAGAGTTGATGGAGTTGGAGATGATGAAGATTAATCTCATACTGCAGGTCTACAGCCAATCTGTATAAATGCCGTCTTCATGCAAATCTGTAAAAAGATAATCTCTTAGATGCAGCCCTGTGGTTCATAATTTAATGAGTAGACACTACCTAGAGCCCCATGAGAAGGGTGCCTTCTCGCAGGTGGACACTGCCTCTTACCAGGGAGCAGTTTGTGGAGCAGAGCAATAGAGGCTGGTTTTCAGATTCACTCAAACCCACAGCCAAGAGCCTTTGTGCAGGGCATAAATTCACAAATACCTGCGGCTCAGACACAGAATCCAAGAACACCAGAGTGAGACGAAACCTTAGGAATGATTCAGTCTAATCTTAATTTCACTCATGAAAAACTGAAGTCTCCAGAACAGGTCTAAAGTCACATGGAGATAATATGGTTACCGGGTCAGACCATAACTGTATTCATTCTATAGTAGAGTAGAGGTAGTAGATGTATTAAATACAGAAATCACATTAAAAACCAAAAGTAAGAAATGTAGAGATTTAAAACACTGGAAACCAAATGAAAAATTCAGTTTCATTCTTGAATTCCTGTTTTAGAGAAGAAAAAGGGCTTTTTTGTCAATCATTTAGAATAGGTGTTATGATTCCTTATCAAATAAATGTCATGAATGATACAGGAATGTACAGGAATAATAGAAAAAGTAAACTACTGTTAATTTCAAAGATAATACTATGAATAATACTATTTTAGTCTATGATATTTCAAGGAAACAAAATGATATGTTTTATTTGAATATGGTTCTTTTACAAAAATCCTGATCTAAATACAGATGTTTGTCTCATCCAGTTACCAAAGCTGTTGTGATTAAATTTCCAGATACACAATTAGTTCTAATAATTTGCTTTTTTCAGCTCCAAAAAGACTAGTTAACTATTATTATTATTTTTCCATTTATTATTATTATTTTTTATTTTTCATTTATTTCCAATTTTTATTTTTCTTTTTTTTAAGAAATAATTTGAAGTGAATATTTTCAAGTTATATGGGTATTGAAGTCTGCATTATAAAAATGAAAGTGTTTTCCCATTTCTGGGAAACTTAGTAGTTTAGGAAAGTATTTTCAATAAAATAATATTTACTTTTGAGGCATCACTACCTACACTACACAGAATCACCTGAATTTTTTTTATTTTGCTTTGCTGTCATATATGATTACGAGCATATTTTCAGGTGGGGAAAATCCAACCTGTTAATTTTGGCTATCTTTATCATTAACACATATTGCTGAATCAATTCTTACATTGCTCTTCAAAGCAAACTCAATCACAACCATAATGTTTCTAAAATGAGAAACAAGTCTCGTAATTCATAGACCTTTTTCTATCCAAAGAAATGAGTAGTAGAGTCTATTTAAAAAGTAAATAAAAAAATAAAGATTCTTTTCGTTTTACTTATCTCTTTATTTATCATGAATTTCAATAAGAGGAATAAGCCCTGGGACAATACAAAGAAAAGGCTTCTTTCTTGTCTTCCTAGGTCACGGGGAAAGAAGTTCCCTTCTCATCCTCCGCATCTCAACTGCTAAAGACATATTCAGTTGTACAGTTTGCACTGATGCTAGCATTTTATGAAGACACCTTTGCAGATTCAGCTGTAAGTGACACCCATTTTAAATAGAGTGTGAGAAAATTGTCACTCTTCACAAATGAAAATAAGCTCCCCATTTTATGATCATGCCCTATTCTTTTCTGTGATTGTCAGCTTTAATTTTGGCAACACTTCTCATTTAAACAAGTAAATTAATTCTTCTGTATTACTATATGTAAATAAATCAATTATATCCAAAGTATTTCTGTATAGACTGCCCATCAAATAGCATGCTATTAATTGAAGTGAGAAATAATAAATTATTTGCCGTAAATACATTTCACAACGGTTATGATAGAAATACTTCAGAAGTAAGAATTAAATGTGTTTGGTACAGTACACTTTCCATCACTTTCAACATATCTACCTTCATTTAGAGAATACCCCAGTAGAATGATTTTATAGAGTTTTCAATGTAGAGTTTACTTCCTTTATTCTGCACTTTCTGAAACATTCAGAATATTCTATTGCTCTGATGCAAACATGAGCAGTGAATCATGGTTTAGTTCAAGAATTTCCACCTTGGGAGTAATTTTTTGGCCACAAAATAATACCCATAATGCATACATTTTGGACAGAACAAAAATAGCATAAGGTATGTAGAAATGTGCTATAAAGTGCCAAAAAGATAAAAATAGCTATTTTTAAAAATACTTGCTTTGTTTTATAGATTTATTTATATTATATTCTTCATGTAAAGATTTATAATTATTCAAAAAGGTACATGAAAAATAGTAAAGTAACTAAATTAGAAGTAGGTGAAATAGAAAATAGAATCACGGGTGAATAAAAATTACAGTTTTGGTAGCTTGTTATCAAGAAAACATACACCTCATGAAATAACCTCACTGACTTGGGAATGTTAAAGGTTACACAGTAACTGTATGAATAATTGTTATACTTTAAAAAAACATAGGAGGTTTCTACTTCCAGCAATATTGTAGTTTAGATATGCCTATTTTTTAAGGTGTACAGGACACCTAAAATTGCTGGATTTTACACAAAAAAACCTTAAAATGCACAAAAGAGCTGGCAAAAAACTGAAGGATACCTAAGAGGCTAAAAATATTGAGAAAATATGAAGCCAATAAGGAAACTGACTACTTATTCTGATAGCTGCCTGTCCTAGGACCTCTGACAATTCCTGATGGTCAGCATTGCAAGGGACCAGAGACAAAGCTAAGAGCCTGCATGGGTGGGAAGTCAGATAAAGAACCTCAGAAAAAACAACCAAAACCAAAAAAACAAAAACACTCTCTGTGAAAGGAAGGAGAAATAAGAAGAAAATAAAAACATGGAGAGGAAACTTGCTTATCTTGTACTTAGCTTTAAGGAGGCAGAAAAAAAAAAAGGTCTACCTTGAGTACTTTTTTTTTGACATTTTTTTATTGAAGCATAATTGATTATACATATTTGTGGATGCAGATTTGAATATCAATACCTTTGTACAATATGTGGTGATCAAATCATGATAATTAATATGCTCATGTTTACAAAACGTAATCAATCTTTGTGACACTTAACCAATTTCTCACTAACCCACCTCCCCCTCCTTCTTTCCTACATCTAATAACACAGTTCTCTCCTCTCTCTCTCTCTCTCTCTTTTTTTTTTTTTTTTTTTTGAAAGTTCCACATATTATTGTAATTGCTGTTTCTTTCTTTATTCTTATTTATCTATCTGTCTATCAGTATTTCTCTTTCTGTGCCTGGTGTATTTCACTTAATATAATTTTCTCTAAGTTCATCCATGTTGCTGCTCATGGCAGAATTTCATTATTTTATGGACCCATTGCATTCCATTGAACATTCCATTCCTTATCCAGACATCTGTTGATGGATAATTAGGTTGATTCCAACTCTTGGCTACTGTAAATAAGCTGCGATAAACATGGGAGTTCAGGGATCCCTTTGACATGATAATTTCCCTTCCTGTGAGGACATACCCAGCAGTAGGATTGCCAGATCATGTGGTAGTTCTATCTGCAGTCGTTTGAGGAACCTCCATACTGTTTTCCATAATGGCTGCACTAATTTACAGTCCCACCAACATTGTGGAAGTGTTCCCCTTTCTCCACATCCTCACCAGCATTTGTTACTCTATCTTTTTGATAATAGCCAGTTTAACTGGCATGAGATGATAGTTCAATGTGGTTTTGATTTGCACTTCCCTGATGCTTAGTGATATTGAGCATTTTTTCATGTGTCTGTTGGCCATTTGTATATCTTCCTTTGAGAAATGACTATTTAGCTCCTTTGCCCAGTTTTTAATTGGGTTACTTGTTTTCTTACTATTAAGTTGAGTTCTTTGTATATTCTGGATATTAATCCCTTTGTTGCATGCCTAGTTTGCATATATTTTCTCCCATTCTATAGGTTGTCTTTTTGCTCTGTTTATTGTTTCCTTTGCTGTGTAGAAGCTTTTTAGTTTGAGATAATACCATTTGTTGTTTTTTTTTTTCTTTTGTTGCCTATGCTTTTGTGGTCTTATTCATAAAGTCTTTGACCAGTCCTACATACTGAAGTGTTTCCCATATGTTTTCTTCAAGAAGTTTTATAGTTTCACATCTTCTATTTAAATCTTTAATCCATTTTGAGTTGATTTTGGTATGTGGCCAGAGGTACAGATCTGGTTTCATTCTTCTGTATATGGATGTCCAGTTTTCCCAGCACCACTTATTGAAGAGGCAGTCTTTTTCCCATTGTATGTTCTTGGTGCCTTTGTTGAAGATCAGTTGGCTTTAAGTATGTGGGACATGATCCTATATATACAAAAACTAAAGATTCTACAAAAAAAGCTTAGAGTTGATAAACAATTTCAGTAAAATTGCAGGATACAAAATCAACACTGAACAATCAGTAACATTTTTGTACTTCAACAACAAACTTGCAGAAAAAGAAATCAAGAAAGCAAGCCCATTTATGGTAGTCACTCAAAAACAAACAAACAAACAAACAAACCAAAAACCTAGGAATCAGTTTAATCAAGGAGACAAAAGATATCTACAATGAGAACTACAAATCACTGCTGAAAGAAATTAAAGAGGACACAAAAAGATAAAAAGACATTCCATGCTCTTGAATTGGAAGAATTAACATTGTGAAAATGTCCATACTATCTAAAGCAAATCTATAGGTTCAATGCAATCCCCATCAAAATATCAATAATATTCCCCACGGAAATAGTAAAAACAATCCCAACATTCATATGGAGCAACAAAATATCCAGAATAGCAGCCCATGTAATCCTGAGCAAAAATAAATAAAGCCAGAGGCATAACATTACCTGACTTCAAGTTATACTGCAAAGATATAGTAACCAAAACAGCATGGTACTGGCATAAAAACAGACACATGGACCAATGGAACAGAATATGGAACCCAGAAATCAATCTGAATATTTTTAGCTACAAGCTAGCCCTCACACAGATGTGGATCTGGAATATATATTAACCATGATCTTGATAAATCTAAGTGAAAAATATAATTTAAAGTGGTCTCACATTAGATCTCAGGTGCCTATAAGAAGCATATTCAAATCATTCCTAGGGCAAACTCCATCAGTCTGAGCCTTAGAGTATTCCAACAGATAACATCCCAAGGATTATAAACTCATAATTAAAAAATAACAAAAACATACTAGGAGAAAGTCACCATGATGAAGCATCAGCAGAAAGATCAAACAGAATCAAACCCTCAGAGTAGGTATTGGAAATCAATGTAATTAAAATATGAATAAAGTAAACTTAAAATGTTTGAAGAAATAGATGATAAAATTAAGAAGAAATTAAAAAATTATAAAAATACCAAAAAAAAGAAAAAGAATCATATTATGAAGCACAGTTTGAAAACAAACTTCTAGAAAACAAAATATGATATCTGGCATAGAGAAGTCAATGACTTAAATAGCAGTTTAAAAACAGTGAAGAGAAAAATCAATGCACTAAAAGATAGATTCAAAAAATTATTGAGAGAAGAGGATTAAAATGGTGGCACAGACGGTACCCAGCATCACACTTTCCCATAGTCAACCAATTTACAACTATTAAAAGCAACGACAGCCAAGCTGGGGCTGCTAGAGCTCAGGGGAAGAGGAGGAGAGACCTACAGAGTGCATGAAGACAGGAAAAGCCACAATGAGAGAAAATGAAAGAAAGGACCACTTGTACCATTTCGAGCCCCAATCACTTCAAGACTGGCCCTGCTGAGCACATGAAGCAAGAGCTGGCCACAGATGTGCCCTTTGTATGAAGCTGCTTGGAGGTTGCAGGGTAGAAGAGGGCCTTGGTGGCCCCCAGCCAGCAAGACTACTAACAGGGTTCCCAAGGACCCACATGGGAGTAAGGGGCCACTGACAACTGAAAAAAGGAGCCACTCAGAGGCTGGTGAGTCATTGCAAGGGAACAGCACATGGTCTGCCCCATGGGAAGGGATTGGAGTACAGGGAGTGGGGGAGACTGACCCACCAGGGGGACACTGGGTCACAGCATGGACAGCCGATCTGCGCCCCCCAATCAGCACAGGAACACTCAGTGGAGACTGGTCAGGAATATAGAACTGCAGGGGTACAGTTTCCTGAAAAGATTCAGGCCTAAACCAGAGTTTCCATTCAACCCAGGTGTACCAGACCTTGCAAGACCTGGAAGTGCGTATAAGATCAACAATTAAAACCTGAGCTGCACAAAAGGCCTTCCCCAGGGAATCAGCAGCAAAGCAGCATTTAGCTCAACCACAGGGTTCAAGTTCTGGTTCCCACAGGAACTTCTCCCATTTCAGAAGTAAACAAAAGACAACAAATTAGTTCCAGTGCAGAGTTTAGGTGGTGAGAACAGCAAATAATCCAACACAGATTTGAAAGAAAAACAAAAGCCCCACAGATCAGAGACAAAGTTCTGCTTTTAACCAGTAAAGGTCTCATATCACCAAAGAACACCTATAAAACCTAGAAGGACAGGAAGAGCCCCTGGGCTCCCAAGCCAGGCAGGGGTTCTGAGAGCCTCAGCTACA